AGATATGTATTTTGCAAAAATTTTTTGCTAACCTCTGACTTGTCTTCTCATTCTCTTAATAATGTCTTTTGAAGTGGGGAAGTGTTTTATTCTGGTGAAGATCTATCTAATTTGTCAGGGTTTATTGACTAATTTGTTGTATTTAAGAAATCTTTAAGGAGGGTATAGTGCAGTGGTAGAGTACATACCTAGCACTGTTCAATTCCCAGTACCTTGGTTAAAAATAAACAAATAAATAAACTTAATTACCTCCTCTCAGTAAAAAAAATAAAAACAAAAAACAAAAACCTTCAAATAGCATTGTGTTTAAGAAAAAAATCTTAGCCTAGCGTAGGGTCACAAAAATTTTCTCTTGGATATTCAATTGTTCCAGGGTCATTTGTTGTAAAGACTGAACTTTCTCCATTGAATTTCCTTTGTACTGGGTTGGAAATCAATTGATTCTATATGTGAGGGTCTATTTCTGGACTCTGTTCTGTCTCATCTATCTATGTGTCTATCTTTTCACCAATACCACACTACTTTGATTACTGCAGCTTTAAGTTATGTCTTGAAATCCAGTCTTGAGAGTCTTCAAACCCTTTTCTTTTTCAAAATTGTTTTAGCTATTATGTTTTTTGCTTTTTCTTATAGCTTTTAGAATCAGCTTGTCAATATGTACAGAAAGTCATTGGTTGTTGCTAGAACATAGAGATGCGGTTTATTTTAGTTTACTAACCCCATATGTTGTGACTTTAATAAACTCACTTTTTTTTAATACTTTTTTTTTGTAGATTCTGTGAGCTTTTCTTCATAGACACCTAATTTTTTTTTCTTGCTATCCAAACTGTATGACTTTTATTTCTTTTTTGGCTTTATTGGACAGCCTAGGACCTCCAATATGTTTTTAAGTGATGAGGGCAGATATTCTTGCCCTGCTCTGGTCTCATGGGAGGGTTATTTACTCTTTCAGCATTAAATATGATATTAGCTGTGGGTTCTTTGTAGATGCTTTTTATTGAGTTGAGGAAGTTTCTTTCAATTCATAGTTTGCTGAACGTTTAATCATGAATGGATGTTGAATTTTGTCAGACACCTTTTCTGCATCTATTTAGATTCTCATATGGTTTTTCTTAGAATATTGATTTGGTGAGACACATTTATTGATTTTAATATTGAATCAGCCTTTCATGCCTTTGGATAAACCCCACTTATCATGACATGTCTCCTTTTTATGTATCAATAGGTTTGATTTGCTAACCTTTTGTCACATTTTTACACCTGTGTTCATTAGAAATACTGGTCTGTAATTTTGTCTTTGTTGTATCTTGATGTTAAGGCCTCATCAAATGAGTTAAGAACTCTTCCTATTTTGTTTTCTGTAAGGATTTATATAAAATTAGTATTATCTCTTACATACTTGGGAGAACATTAGAAGAGTAAAGTCATTTGGACCTGGAGTTTTCTTTGTTGGAGAGTTTTTAACCATAATTAAATTTGTCTTTCATGGATAGAGGAGTTTTTAGATTATCTATTCTTCTTAAGCAAGTTTTTATACTGTGTCTTCTCAGAAATTTGTCTATTTCAAAGAAGTTGTATTTATGGGCATCGAGTTATTCGTAAATTTAATATTTTTTGGATCTGTAGTATTGTCCTCTCTTTCATTCCTGGAATTGGTAATGTACATTCTTTCTTTTTCTCTATCAGTCTTGCTATGTGTTTATGAATTATATTAATCTTTTCAAAAATCCTACTTTGGATTTTATTGATTTTCTCTGTTTTTCTGTTTTCAGTTTCATTGATTTCTATTCACATCAATATTGCTTCCTTTGTCTTGTTTGCTTTGAGTTTAATTTACTCTTCTTTTTCTGCTTTCTTAAGGTGGAAGTCTAAATAGTTCCTTTGACATAATATAAAGATTTAATTATATAAATTTCCCAAGAACTTCTTTAGCCCCAATCCACAAATTTTCATGCTGCCTTTTCATTGTCATTCAGTCAAAATGTTTTCTTATTTCCCTTGTGACTTCCTCTTTGACCTGTGGGACATTTAGAAGTATTTTGTTTAACTTCTATATATTTGGGCATTTCTAGATATTTTTCTGTTATTGATCTCTAGTTGATTTCTTTGTGGTAAGAGAATATACTTTGTATAAACTGTAGAGTTTTGTTTTTAATTTGTTGAGTTGGTTTTATAGCTCAGAATATGGTCTGAGATTCTATTGTATGAATTCTTTATATATTTTGGATATTAACCCTTTATCAGGTACAAGATTTGCAAATGTTTTCTTCTGCTCTGTAGGTTGCCTTTTCATTTTGTTGATGGATTCCTTTGCTGTGCAGAAGTTTTTTAGTGTTATATAGTCCCACTTGTTTATTTTTTATTTTTTTGACTTTACTTTTGATGTGAAATCCAAAAAATCATCGCCAAGACTAATGTCAAGAAACTTACCGCCTGTTTTCTTCCAGGAGTTTTATGGTTTTACATCTTACTTTCAAGTCTTTAATCCATTTTGAGTTAATTTTTGTATATGGTGTAAGACAGTGGTCTAGTTTCAGTCTTTTGCATGTGGCTGTCTATAGTTTTTCCAGTACTATTTATTGAAGAGACTTTTCTTTATTATATATTATTGGCTCATTTGTTATAAATTAATTGACCATAGATGAGTGGGCTTATTTCTATGCTCTTTAGTCTTTTCCACCCATCTATATGTCTGTTTTTATCTCAGTACCATACTGTTTTGATTACTATAGCTTTGTAATACAGTTTGAAACCAGGGAGCCTGATTCCTCCAGTTTTGTTCTTCTTTTTCAGTATTGCTTTGGCTATTCAGAGTCTTTTGTGGTTTCATACAAATTTAGGATTGTTTGTTTTATTTGTATG